GTGGGTTCGGACAACATGAATCATGTTGTTGGCGGTTTTGGCTATATTTTTACAACCAGCCGCCTGCCTGACGTCAACCCTCCTTGGAAAACAAATACCCAGACCAAATTTCAACTGTGTAACTATCACGGTTCATGAGATACAGCCTGTTGACAGAGGGACAAACAGACAACGGAGTCTTAGTAATAGGGTCCCGTTTTACCCTTTGGGTACGGAATCCTAAAAAGGCCCCAGAGGTATAGTGTTTCACGGTATACACGTCCAACTTAAAAGGGTCTCTGAGTTACACAGATTGTATGATCCACTAAAATATTCCTGAATAGTCGTAATAGGAGAAGGTTAATATTTGAGTATTCCTCGGCAAGGTACTGTGCGTAACAAAACTGTGACATGCATGGAATTTTATGCATTTAGGTTGATGGTTAGAGCTACCTGTTTTAATCCATTGCATTATTACTGGGACTTATTAGGGTTCCGTACCCAAAGGGAAAAATCGCACCCTATTACTAAGATTCCGCTAACTGTCTGTATATCCGTATGTCTGTCCATATGTCACCAGGCTGTCTCATGAACCGTGATAGTTAGACAGTGTGAATTTTCACAAACGATGTATTTCTGTTGCCACTATAACAATAAATACGAAAAAACAAAAAACGTATAAATAAGCGGGGCTCCCATAAAACAGACATGATTTTTTTGTCGTTTTTATAGATAACTAGCGGCCCGCCCCGGCTTCGCACGGGGATTTAACAAAAAGTTATCATACATACACATGAAACCTTACGAATATTTCGTCTTTGGTGAATAATTTAATGAATTTCTTCATGTTTTAATGAAATACCCTTGAAATTACGTCATGAAGATCGAAGGACCGCTGACCGGATAATGGTTCCGCTTTAATTACGGGACATTCGGGGTTACACGTAAAAGTGACAAATAAGTCTGGTCTTCCATAGCTTCGGACATAAATCATCGCATCTTTGGTTTTTTAATGCAGATAACTCGGAGCGGAACCATTATCCGGTCAGCGGTCTTTCGATCTTCATGACGTAATTTCAAGGGTATTTCATTAAAACATGTAGAAATTCATTAAATTATTCACCAAAGACGAAATATTCGTAAGGTTTCATGTGTGTGTATGATAACTTTTTGTTAAATACCCGTGCGAAGCCGGGGCGGGCCGCTAGTAAATATATAATTTAACAGCCCGTTTGGACCACGCAATCAACCTTTCGCTTTGTGCTAATCGTTCTACAGCCTGGCCTGTCATTCTGAAATTGCACCGTAAGCCCTCAATAACTAACACTACAAACAAAACAATATGCTTCCGTTGGACCAAAGCCCAACATATTAATAATCCACGTTTCGACCAAAAAACATAATATTTGAAAAGGGTAATACCAGAAATAATAACCCAGTTAAAATTTTTTTACACTAAGCACGACCTACATAATAATAAAATGTCTCGAATACATCATCATCAGCATAGAACCAAAATATAATAAAAACATAATTCTTCAAAAAAATATTAAAAAGGCGCAAAATCTTTTAAAAAATCCTAGAATATTTTAATACTTTACTCTTACCATCCCATATCATAGTAGGTGCAGCAGGAGACTTTTGCCCAGCAGTGCGGCATATATGTATAAGCTGTTTCTTTACTTTTATTTTAGACAAAATTTTCAACAAAATTCCAACTAACAAATCTATGCGAAAATAAGAAAATCAAGATTTTTCTGAATGTACGCTCAGTCGTTCGTACAGCTTGTGTTTACACACAAGCAGGTTAACGAGTTTTCTTGACCGACGAACACGTGGCAAATAAGGGCCAGAGATTGCAATTTACTACATAATCGGTGCCGGTATTGTAATTACTACTCAGGTTGCTGTAATGCTAGAAGCAAAACTATTTACACGACAATGAAGGATTTCGCACGAGTCAACAAAGCTCATTTACATATAAAGTTTCGTGTTAAAGCAACAAAATACAGTATAAAGTAATTTCGTAACAACCGCTAACATTTTAGCCGATGACCTATTGTTATAAGCCTTATTGTTCCCGAATAACGTCGCCTTGTGACCAAAGAATGAGTTCTAGAATCAGTCTATTGCGTACAAACAATCTTAATTATCTTTAATATTAGCATATTCACCGGTAATCCAAGAATACTCGAATCGATTTTACTAAGATTCTTGGGCGACAAACTTTTCTGAAAGTTCCACGCCCGAATCATGAAAGAGCTCACTACAGTTTAATAGTAGTTACAGCTTGTAACTGTGGGAAGTAGTTTGAGACCGCTTGAAGTTATTCTAAGCCGCCAAAAGCCAGTTTAACCACGTGTCGGGGCATAACGCCCTGCAGTCGGTCCCATAACAGCGCCCCGCAATTATCTCCGCGACTGCCGAAACAAACAAACGCTTATTCGGAATTCCTCGCGAGGCACGCCGCGCTTCATCACGGACCGCCGCTTTTGTTCCAACAACTGTTTTATCTCGCTGCCAAGGAACGTTCTTAAGGTTTAAATGAATTGCCACTTTCGGCGGAGGGTGGAATTTCTGCCTTATTATGTCGGTCGTTAATCTTTTTTTTTTTAATTTAATAAAGCTAAACTTTCGTTTCAGTAGTTCCGTTGCATTAGGTTCTCAATACTTAAGGATGGATGTTCTCTCTTTTACCCGTTTACCAAACTAAGATAGCTAACACAGATAATAGAGAGACACAACCGTGTGAAAAGGTATGTCAGTAAATACCAGACTTTTTATCATAATCTGCTTGGGCCTGAATCTTTTGCCGTTGCACGAAAGGGCAAGCTCGTCCGGAGAGGTACCACGGCCCCACAGAAGACTGGCGTGAAGTGATAGTTTCATATTTTCTCGTTTTATGTAGTGGTAACCAGGGCCACTTCTTTATCGGTTGCCAACGCATCTACACCCAAGGGATTGTAGATGTCCATGGGCGGCGTAAATCAATCAATCACATCCGGAATCTATGCTATCTATCTACCATCTGCTCGCTGGCGAACTTTTTGTAAAAAAAACGTAAATCATTTCGAGTTATCCATATCAAACTTAAAAATTTAATTATCATCGATAATTTAAAATCACTTAACCCATTACAATGTTCACTTATCTAGATAAAAAAATTTATAGAGATCTGCTGTTGTAGGTGCATCACGAAAAAGTAATGGATTGATTTTAATTATTACTTCCAAGTAAAATATAAGTATAACCTTGGACACCGGGGGCATGGCAGAAAAACATTGTTATATCTTAATTTAATGTGAAGTTGTTAATGATTTAAGAAATAACAATCGACGCTAGACGTGTAGTTGTTAATATTATAAGCAACGCAGACAAAATCGCGGGTATCAGTTAGTTTTATATGTCGTTTTGATCTTAGCAACAATAGTCTAAAGTTTTTGAAATTATTGAAATCTATTTAAAACGAGCATAGTCTTATTTTAGGCAAATATAAATTTAATTATACACCTACCCGCTAAATTTCACCTATTAAAAGTTAAATTTACCAATACAGTATCTCAATAAGAGCGATAAGCCCACTTTAAACTTGAACGTTATTAAGAAGAGCTTGAGACTTTAAAATAACTCGAAAGTGAAAAAACTTCAAAGTTTAATTTTGTAAGATAAGACGAGGGCAAGTTGATAAAGGTATTGATAACGGTGATCGTTCAAAATAATTAATTTTGTTTTAAACTATTAACCATTCCTTTTGCTACTTTGGCTCATTTACTATTAATTAATATTTTTTTGGTGCTTCATACGTGATGAAAAGTAAGTACGGTACTATATATAAAATATGGTATATATGAAAAAAGATATGCATCAAATAAGAATCTTAATGTAGATAAAAAAAATATCTTTAGCGACAATATTTGTTTCATAGACTTACTACGGACTTGAAACCACAAATGTCTTTAAGTATATTTGAGCATATAAAAGATTAGAAGTCAACTTAATTAAACTCAGTACTAATTTGGTTAAAGAAAGTATGGTAAACTATAAAATGATTTTATTTTAAATAATGTTTATCCATTTCTTTATTCTAGAAATCAAGTTTAATACGAGAGTAATTATTAAAATAGAATACAAGTAATAGTAAGTTTTATTTATGTTTTTGTTAAAACTTTAATAGTAAACATTTAGGCCGAATTATTTGTAATAATTATAGGTACAAGCTAATGACCACGGAGGGCGTTTAAATGTTGCATTTATTCACGTATTCAATGCATAAATAAGTGATTATTGCATAATAAATAATGTAATCGCTATCTGGTTATTTAGTTATATAGTTTTCTGCTTTTATTTGTTTATCTATTATTTGTAACACGTTATTCGATAACAGTACGAGGTCTTTCTCTATTTTTTTTACAAATATTAATAAAAACTGATATGGGTGGAGTTGTAGAAATTGATAATTATAGCTCTTCTCTTATCGTTATTAATTTCCATTAATTTAGAAAATTTACGAATATTTTTAGTTAAAATGTCAAGAGTCCTTCAATCTTTTTGACGACCCTCTGGCGCAGGAGGCAGGTACTCTGCCTCCTGCGCCAGAGGGTGTGAGTTCGATCCCCACTACTGGAAAAATATTGTGTGATGAACATGGTGTTTTTCTAGTGTCTGGGTGTTTCTATATGTATAATATGTATTTATTTACAAAAGAAAAGTAGGTTTAAGTATGTTTATCAGTTTTGCTGCTACAAGCTTTGCTTAGTTTGGGACTAGAAAATGTTGTGTACAAATGTGTCTAAAATATTAAAAAAAAAAATAAAAAAAAATCTTTTTCTTCAGACGGTTTTGTTACTGTATAATCAAATACTAACAGTCGTTTACTGACTTCACTGATGATAATTTATCAATTTGTTGACATAAGTGATAAATTTTGAACCAAACAAAAATCTTACCAGTTAGAAGAATGAAGTATAGCACAGAGAGAAGACAGTGCGCACGAGACATGGTGCGGGACGGAGAGGGCGCTAGGGCGCCGCGGGGTGTGCGAGCGAGACGGAAACAGGCGGGGTGGGGGCGCGGCGCACCGAGCGCTCATCTCCAAGGACGCTGCATCTGAGAACAAACGGAAAAATCATCATTTTTACACTTACCTTTGATTACTTACGTTACTCTAATAATTTCGTACAATTTTGAAAATTTCTTATCGAATCTATGAGTAATATTTAATTATAGAAATGTGTATTTTGAGTTCATGGCGATGACAATGGCCATTGAGCCAGACACTTACATATTTCTGCCCTTTCGAGAGTTGGGGCGGAAACCTAACTTGAAAAAACGAATATTTATTTATTATGAATTACCCCAAGAGGGTAAATCTTTCAGATGTGACGACAATAACGAAAATAGAACAAACATTTATTTATTTATTTATTTATCACCAACAAAGTACACACTGTGACAATAATTATACAAGTTTTACAAAAATGTGATGAGTGGTAGCTTAATTATAGGTAAAAACTACATTACAACAGACAGTAGAGACAAAAACCAAAAAACTTTTACAAAACTAAATGTGAAATACGAGCATTATAATAATACAAACATTAACTAAAATATGGTTAAAACAGAAAAAAAGCAGTATAAAAAGTAAGTTACCAAAAAAAAAATATGTTACAATAAAAAAATAGATGAACATTACCAACGCCCGCTTATTGCTGGAGGAGCATTACGGAGCGTTAATGTAGCAGCGTTGGAAACATTTTTACGTGCTCGCGTCGCACGTAGTATGCATGAGCAGAGGCGCCTTATCGCTAACGGTGGCTCCGAAGACGCTCGCAAAGCTATTGTCTAACGTCGTTGCCGTATCGAGCGCCCCCCGATATCCGCGCAACCTCCGACCCGCCACTGTGCCGATTCTGGGCCGGGGGTGGACCTACATATGTATGCTAGGGTTAACGAATCGACTTTTTTGCTTGTACATGCCTCACGTTCGCGGACACTGCGCCTTGGAAATGAATCAACAACATACAAGTTTTATTGTTTGGAAACTTGGTAGATATTAGGGTGAAAGTCTTTTCGAAAGATTAAGAGTATAAAAACTATTTAACAAAAAAATTAAACCCCTGAAAAAACTGAAAATCTACTACTCTGTAAAAAAATATGCATGGTCATACATAAAAAAAAATTAGGCGTCGACTTCAGAACTTCCTCCGTTTCTTCGTCGGGGAATCACTATATCACAGTCAAAATGTGAATTATTTAGAAATTCTCAGAAATTCCTCAAATCAGTCTCCATAATGACAAACTTCTTAGTATACCGAACATGACTAATCTTTTGAAACAATACCGATCTTCTTGTAAAACTTTGTGTTATAAAAACACTTATCAATATAAGATGTTTTATAAGAAACTTTTTTCAGAAGAAAATTCCGATTCCATCCCTAGTGAAACGAACGCTGGTTTCATAAAATAACGTCTCGTCAGACAACCCTAGATAAAGAGCGATTGTATTTCGTCTGAAAGTATTCGGAGGCCCCGCAAGGGTCGCACATGGGTGGCGACGTAGAAGGAGAGTGGGGGAGGGGGTGGGGGCGGCACGTGTCTCAAATTGTCTGCTATTTATTGGGGACAGGCATGAGAAAGCATCGATATTAGTCACTAGTTGCCGAAAGTTCGCTCTTATTAGGGTCTAACGTGGTTCCGAAAATTCCGATTTAGTTATCTGGAAATGTCTCGTTTCTGTAAATTTTTAATACTTCTAAGTATGTACCATTTTTGATCATAGTCGTAACCTTCATTGATTAAGACTGATTGCATGGGAAATATAAAATAAGTTTGATAATTATGATTGGTAAATTTTATCCTGTTTATTTTCAAATCAGAGCCAAAGACTGACGTTTAAATTAATATTTTAATTTAAATAATTTCAGTATGATATTTATCGTCATGAACATTCAATCGAATGCAGTAGTCTGCATTGCAGTAAGTAAATAATGCAATCCTTGAACAGCGCAGACACAACCAAAATAATCGAATTAACTTATAGTAATTCACAATTATTTTAATTTTAAAACAATGAAAGGCGAACTATAGTTTAATGAATTTATAAAGCATGGTGATGACAAATTTAACACGGACTCTGTCATGAATTTTGGCGATGTGAGACCAAATATTACGTTTAAGTGTACCACCCAGGTACCTACCTACTACCTCAATTAAAGAGAATTTTATTGACATCCTCCAACAACCCCTAGAAATAACTTCCCAACTCAGCATCGATGCCGAAACTGCAACGGAAGTAAAGAGGCGCCTTGCGGGACCCCGTCGCCCCCTGGCTAAAGTTCCAGTCGAGTGGGGGATATTTACTGCCGCGTAAACCGCGGTCAAGTGCTTTTGCCGTCATTATCAGATCTTCAGCGGCCGCATTGGTTTAAGGGGCACTCGGTTATTCAAATAAATAAAAGGTTAATTCAGGGCGATTCACAAGCCATCATTGGATCTCCTCATAACTATTGCTGAATAGCGACATAACCACAAATTATTATTTTAATTACTTTATTTAAAGTGTGAATAAGTTCATGAGATATTTTTCGTGCAAAACTCTCTATAATGTGAAGATAAATTTTTCGATTGTTTCGCGTTACGATTCTGTTCTGAGACGCTCTGGACACTAAACCAAACGGTCCACAACCACGGAAAAATCTTGACAACTTACTTAAATTGCTTTTATTGCGTTTTAGCAATGCTTAGTGCCACCTGTCCTCAAATCACAGTTCTAGATTGAATAATTGAAGACTATAGAATTATCGCTTTTGCTATTATAAACACAGACATTGAATATTTAATTTTCTTTAATAGACATTAGGCTCTGCATTTAAGATGTAATTGAGTGGGTAAGTAAATTGACGAATTTTTTTCCGCTCCCAGATTTCGGGTTATCTTAAGATCAGAAACTAGCACTGAAAATAAAAAGTAAAAAAAAAACCGAGTGAGTATGTACGCATGTAAGAAGTTATACTTCATCAGCGTAACAAAAATAACATAACTAAAAATTTTATTTCGTGTGCTCTTTGTTTGTGAAAAAAGACATTCAATTCAATTGATAGCGGTTTAATTAGATTACTTGGAATTGTATGAAAAAAGCAAAATTATTATTGGTTGCCATGGTAAAGCCATGAAGTTGGGGTCGCGCGTCGTAAAAATCACTCACCATTTTTCCGAACACGCCAAGAGAAGTATTCTTAACTTCTAAAAACACTGTTTTATATTTGGGCCTAATAAGTGTCGATAAGTTCTCGTCCCTCCACCCGCTGTTCTTAATAGTCATCACTAAAATGTATCCGCTCGAATCTTTGCCTTTTCCGCATAACCCGTAAGAATTCTTATTCTTTCCATTCTCAATTAACTTAAATAATTGAAATTTATTTTGTATTTTGTCTTAGGAGTATTTTTTTTTTCTTCTTAAATGTTAAATTTTGTTTGTTTGAAGTTCCTGAAAGAACTCATCATTTGTCTTCACCTTTCATTGAACACATCATGGTTGCAAATATTAATCGAACAGGGGTTCACGTTATTAGTGGTGTATACATTCCTCCTTGGGTTAAATGTGACGATTATTTATCTGACTTTGATTTACTTCAGGAAGTGCTAAATGGGTCAAATGTGGCGAATATTTATATCATTGGAGATTACAATCTTCCAGATATTACATGGTGTCCATCTCCAGGTGTTCCTTCTGGTATGATATGTACAGGTACCTCTCCTGTATATCTTCAACTCTTGCAACTTATGTCATTGCTAGACGTTCATCAATACAACCACATAACTAATAACCAAGGTAGAATTCTTGATCTTTTACTTGCAAACACTCCTTGCTCCGTTGGTCCCGTTTGTGATCCCTTGCTTCCATCTGATCCTTTACACCCGCCATTTGTAATTAATATACCTTTTAGTCAATCGATGCAAGTCCTAAAAGACATACTTTGCCTAAATATAATTTTCGTAAGGCAAATTTCAACCTTATCAATAAACACATTGAAGAAACCGACTGGGCTGCTGCCCTGGACCCGCTTCGATGCGAAGATACACTGGATAAATTTTACAGTATGTTAAGTCAAATAATCAAACCACACGTCCCTCTTTCTAAACCTCGTTCGAAAGACTTCCCTAATTGGTTCTCTCAACAATTGATTATTACTTTAAAAAAAAACAGCGCTTTTGGATCAAATAGAAAAAAACCCGTAACAAAACTTATTATGACAAGTTTTCCGAGATGAGGAAAAAATTTAAGAACATGTGTAACAGCTGTTACTGCTCTTACATTAAGTCTGTTGAAGACAATCTCACATCCGATATAAAATGCTTCTGGTCATATATTTCAAATCATAAGAGTAGGTCTGGTATCCCAGCTTTAATGCAGTACAGAGATCATAAGTCTAGCGATCCTGAGACCATATGTGGAATGTTCTCGGATTATTTCATGTCAGTTTTTGAACCGCAATCTTCTTCCCCGCCAGACTGGAAACCGCCTTCAACCCGTGTTGACAACAATGTAATGATCACTTCATATTAGCGAGTATAAAATACTAAGTGAATTAAAAAAACTTGACCCTAGCAAAGGTGCGGGCCCAGACGGCTTTTCTGCATTGTTTTTTAAGTCAACTGCCCCCAATATCTGTAAACCGCTCTATGTAATATTTAATAAAAGCTTAAATGAAGGTGTGTTTCCTGCGAAGTGGAAGATGGCTAATATAACACCCATCCACAAAAGTGGCTCAAAGCAGGATATTGAGCAATATCGCCCTATATCAATTTTGTCAACTTCAAAACTCTTTGAAAAACTTGTACATAACGAAATATATCCAGTGCTGCACAGTATAATTATCCCAGAACAACACGGATTTGTTAAATGGCGATCCACTGCCACTAATCTATTAATTTTCACTAATGACCTCTTTGAAAATATTGACAAACGTGTGCAAGTGGACGCTATTTATACAGATATTAAAAAGGCATTCGACAAAGTGGATCACGATATACTGCTAAATAAAATTTCTTTTCATGGCATAAGGGGTAACTTACTTCGATGGTTTGCATCGTACATTACAAACCGC